TAAGTTTACTTTTAGTTGTGGTACAGTATTACCAATCCCAAGTAAAGCACTTTCAGTCATAATCGCAATTAATTTTAATATTGTTTTATAATTTGCGCTATAGGCCTAAAAATTTTAAATTATTATTATTATTAATATAACCAATTTTACTTAAAGTAGTATGTTTTATCTTCTTAACAAACATATGATGGTTCTATGAAAACTTTAAATGATTATTATTATTAATATAATCAAGTTTTATCTAATTAATTCAATAATATGACAGTGCATATTTTTCTTTTTATAGACATATGATGTCAGAGCTGTTTTATGTTCTTGAGCCCGAGATGAAATCTTTTATTCGATTTGCAGAGAAAATTGACCCTATGTGAGTCTGTTTTGAGATAGTGTATGTTAAAGTCCCGGGGGGTTCACTTGCATACCAACCTTACGGGGGTGTGTAGCAGCCACTCCAAGACATGAGACACTTGCGCTACCTATTCTACTGAAAATTATTACGGACTTGAACTACCATTTACCTAAATCCAGTATGGCCATGTAACCTAACAAATTAAACTTGCACTGGTTCCCGATGGCAAATAAGACCTTAGTTATTTAGGTTTGGCACTGAGTTTTTAGCAAAAAAATTTGCTAAAATCGTGTGAAAAATTGTAATGCTTTGATGATACGGGATGGGGAAGGGACTTTAACTACCAATTTTACCTGGTATTTCCCACACTTGTGCTACCAAGTCCTTGCAAATATACCCTATACATGCTAAAACTCTTCCATACATTTCCACACTCGTGCTACCAAGTCCTCAAAAATACCCCCGTAAATGCGGCACCCTACCCTTATAGAAATAATTAAGAGTGAGCACTCCGGCGTTAAAGTATGTTAAATGGGAGATTGTATGTTGAATATAGAAATTAAGAAGGACTTTGGAATTGAAAGAGGGTGGATTGGATTTACTCGGTGTAAACACCAGGGATAGCCCACGAAAGTCTAGAAGAAGACTTAATTCCAGTGGAGTCCTTCTGGTGGTGATTGGGCAGTACAGCGGGAGACAATCCCCTACTCTTTTCCGAAGAGTGTACTGTGTTCTTTAACATGCACATGGGCCATCAATGCACACAGGACCAATGGCTTAAACGTTCTCATTTGAAAGACAGTGCGCTAATATCACTTGTATTTCAGCCCTCCAGCTGAAATACAAGGAGAGGCAGCGATGGGAATTGAACCGGGGACCTAGAGATCTCGACTTTTCAGCGCACACACAGTGGCTACCACCAGATCAGCTGACTGAGCTAAGCTGCACTCCTGAGCTATGCTCCTCTAAGGTTTGATGTTGAAAAAACGTCTTTAAATTTCAAAAAAAGTTTTAAATTTCAAGAAAGAAAAAGGAGAGTTTAAGGACTGCTTTAAATTTGAAATGAGTGATAAAGAACGATAATAAAATCAAAAGAGAGATATAATAATAATGGTAGACTTATATAACGCATAATGTTAAGCCCTCTATGCATTATCATTACCAAAGTCATTGGATGAAATGCCTATGGAGCACAAACTCAAGCTCATGGGGGTAGTATTCCATAACGTTGGAGCAGCTACATCAGCGCATTTTGGCATTTAACCCTACCATGTGCCCATTTATACTCCTGGGTGGAGGGAAGCAATGCAAATAAACTGCCTTGCCCCAAAGCGACAAGTAAAATGCACAGAGAAGGATTGAAACCCCGACCTCAAGTTTGAAAAAACCAAACCACTTCCACTCTAGATGAGGAGAGTTGGAGGATTGCTTTGGAAATTGAAGAGAGAAAGAGGGAGTAGAATACTCTCTCACTACCATGCATTATAGACCGATCATTTACATTAATTATTCTCATCTGCAGACACCATAGAAGGGGGCTTCTGGGGTGGGGGTTCTTACGCATCATCTGCTGTAAATAAAAAATATTGGAATTATTGTTCATATAAAGTAGTATGTTCTTTCATTCGTAATTTACTGTAAATACTTTGCACTAATATAAATGGACATGATAACCACGAGCTTAACCCCAAGGAGTTCCCCAACAAAAGCGGCGCCAATAGTGAGCGCACTTTTCTAATTGGATTTGTCTGTTGTAACACAGCCTTATATTCATCGGTATTGACAATGATAATTCGTAACAATAAAGCAGTTCATAGAACTGCACATGTCCATAGCAAGGTCAATCGACTTAAACAAACATGCAACAAAGGTTTATGTCGATTGACCTTGATTGACCTTTGATATGGGCATGCGCAGTCCAAACTATGACTTGGCTTATTGATTTCTTCATAGCTACATCTTGTACATGCTGGTGAGGATTAGCAGACAAGTGTTGTCTAAGGAGTTGAAGGATTCAAGTTCATTTCTTAGCATTGTACTTGCAAACTGTCTTGTTGAAGTCAAAAGGAACGTTGATAACTTTGTGGTAAGAATAATTTATTGTCAAAAAAACTATTGTATGACCATATATGGTCATGATGTGATGTCATCTTGACTATATTTAGGCATGTCACATGTGTGCACAGAGCCTAAAAATGTGGTGTTGTATTGATGGTTTTGGTGATTTTGATGTGGAGATGTGGTGGGGATGATGATTGTTTTGGTAATAATGTTTTGAAAGATTGTTGATATTGAATAATAGTGATGTATGTGGATGAAGATATTATGAATGTGTAGTTGATGATAATGGTAGTGATGTCACTATACTGTCAGCGCCTTGAGATGATTTTATTGAGGAAGCTGCTCTACAAATATCCTACCATTACCATTACTACTGCCATCTTCATTGGTAATGGTGATTATGGGTGCAGTATTGAGATGTTGAAAGGATGATAGCGATGTTTGTATTCTTAAATTGTTTATTAGATTTAGATATAAAAACCTTTTTTTAAATAAATGTTCATCACAGGACAACCAAGTTCGAGCCATCAACGATACAAGAGTATCAAAGAAGAGCAAATGTGGTATTATACCATTTGTAGTGAAATTTGAGAGGTTTGCAGAGCAAGCTGAGTCAATCTTCAAAGGAACGGATCGGAGAGCTGACTTAGATAAGTCTTACAGCAAACTCATATCAGCCCAATTTAAAATCATCCACAAAGTTGCCTTAGAGCACCAGAAAACACCTAGTGATGTTATAATATTTGGTAAGTGATTTAAATGGAAGCAATATTTCCAAGGCTCTTTTCACACTGTCAAATTTTATGTGACAAAAAAAACTATCGTATACCCATATATAGTCATGATGTGCCCATATATAGTCATAATGTGCCCATATATAGTCATAATGTGCCCATACATAGTCATGATGTGCCCATATATAGTCACGATGTGCCCATATATAGTCATAATGTGCCCATATATAGTCATAATGTGCCCATATATGGTCATGATGTGCCCATATATGGTCATGATGTGCCCATATATAGTCATAATTTGCCCATATATAGTCATAATGTGCCCATATATGGTCATGATGTGCCCATATATGGTCATGATGTGCCCATATATATAGTCATAATTTGCCCATATATAGTCATAATGTGCCCATATATGGTCATGATGTGCCCATATATAGTCATAATGTGCCCATATATAGTCATAATTTGCCCATATATAGTCATAATGTGCCCATATATAGTCATGATGTGCCTATATATGGAGATGATGATGTCATATTACACCCGATTATGGGCATATCATGAATATGTATGGCATATCACAGTTGAGTTTTGAGTTTTTTTGTGTACTTAGCATAAGCTAGTGGTGGATTCAAGGTGGTGGGAGCCGGCCCAGGCCTCCCCCCCCCCCCTTCTTAAATTTTTCAAAATTTAAAAAAAAATTCTACTCAATTAAATTATTAATTTCATGTTTATGATCTTGAGAAAGATAAAAGGGGTAAAATGGGAGGACTAAATGCAAACAAGAAATAGCACACAAATGGAAGCCTACTGAATATTATTGAACAAAGAAAAAAAAAAGAGTGATGTATTGATAGGAAATGGATTGTTGAAGGAAGTAATTCAAGGAAAATGAAAGGAAAGGTAGCAGGATGCCATAGAAGTGAATATGTTTACAGATTTGTACATCAGTGTAGGACAAAATCATGTAAACATAGACTGACCTGTATAAAACACATTACCAATGTTAACGATGATCTTTTTTTTTTTTTATTCTTAAATTTTGTAATTTATGAATTATTATCCATGAAAATAAATAAATATGAATAAGATCAAAAATAGTTAAAATTAAAAGAGAGAAACTACTAATTAATACAATTTTATATTTTGTCCTATAGAAAATTTTCACCACCTTCATGGTAAGTTCACAGTTTGTTCATTTTTTCTTTCACATTAATACGAAATGTATATTTAGCACCTACTTTGACAAGATAGTTAGGTTCCACCATCATCATATTTGGCGTTCCATTCTGTTGGATGTAGAAGAGGACACTTATTTTTCTCCATTTTTTTTTTAAGATGGCAATTTCTCATAAAATGTTCAGCTAATATGGATTGTGCTTATCAATGAAGAAAATAACTTGTTTGCATGCTTAAAATTATTTATCATAGTTATAAATTGTTTATCATTTGTAAAATGTGAAATGTTGTCGATTTTCACAATAAACTTTATAATTATATAATGTAGTGGCTACCACAGTTGAACTTGCCTAAGTCGAATCCAAAATGCCATTGAAATATTGTTCGACTTAGATAAAATTCGACTTACAGATTGTTAATTAATGGAAAAGACAACAATTTGGCATGTAAAATAAGATCGACTTAAAAATTAATCAACTTAGAAATTATTCGACTTAGGCACAGTCAACTTAAGCAAGTTTAACTGTATAATGATTACTTTATAATGATTATTTTCAATGTTATATATTTATACTAAATAAATTTATATATTATATTCATATACATATATTTCAGTTTTAGGTTTTTTTTTTACACTAAACATTAGACATTCTCATTATTAAGTATGGTTGTTGCTTAACTTTCTGTGTGTCGACCTTTTAATGGCGGTTATTTCACCTACATGTGACCTATGATGTCATCATTGTTTATTTGTATTTTTTAGGTGTTCTGTCACGTTTAAAGATTACGTGCTTAGAAAATGAAAAACGTGAAGCAAAGCAGAAATACCAAGAACACATTCAAGCTTATGTGACAACGTACCTTGGACGACCAATGGAAAAGCTGAATGTAACTTTGATTTTATTTGTGTGTATTCACTATAGGGGTTGGCAATAACGTATGATGATGAGGATGATGATGATGGCGATGACGATGACAATGATGATGATGAAAATGACAGGATTGGTAGTGGTGATGATAATGTTGGTTTGTGATAATGGCGATGCATTTGCTGAGAAGGCTATAATGCATCCCTAACATACTGCTGGAGGATTGATTGATTGATTAATTTATTAATTGATTGATAGGCTGATTGATTGATTGATTGATAGGCTAATTGATTGATTGATTAGCTGATTGATTGATAGGCTGATTAATTGATTGATAGGCTAATTGATTGATTGATATTTTGATTGATAGGCTGATATATTGATTATTAGGCTGATATATTTATTGTTTAATTAATTCATTAATTGATTGATAGGCTGATTGATTGATTGATTGATTGATAGGCTGATTGATTGATTGATAAAAGATTAATTGGATGCTTAATTGATAGACTGATCAATGAACAAGCGATTATTTGATTTAGTAAATAATTAATTAATTTCTATTTAATATTTGTTTCAATTTTTCCAGCACTTTTTTGAAGGTGTACAAACATTAGTAACACAAGGCGTGAAAGAGGAGGAGGTAGGCTTTCAGATGGCCTACAATAAACAAGAGCTACGCAAGTTGATTCGGGAATACACAACAAAGGAGGTAAATAAACATTGCATTGCTTCAGTATTGTTGTGGCACTGTAGTCTGGTAGCATCTGATGGTCATTGGCTAACACGATTCTGTTGAGGAACACAATGCAAAGATGCATGAGCAACTGATTGTTTTTAATGACGTTCAGACTGGCATCACTGTCAGCGCTCACAAGGGGTTGAGTTGTTCTCAACGGTCATACGACAGAGTGAGTGCTTGCCTCCCAATCCCACATTTTAACATTTTCGAAGAAACTAAAAAAGAAAAGATCCAAAAAATGTGTTGAACATATTTTGTTTACTCTTCATGCATTAAAGTATCAATTGTTTAATATTAATGTGAATAATTGTGTGCATAAATATTTTTAGGTAAAAAAAGGCCTTGACAATTTATACAAGAAGGTGGAAAAAACACTTTGCGAAGAAGAGAGTCTATTGCAGGTTAGAGGATAATGTTTACGTTTGGTATTTTGAAGTTTCTAAATTGTATCGTCTTTCACCACTTTTTTTATGTTGCATAACACATTATTATTAAATTAATAATAAAGTTAATAATAAATAATAATAATAATAATAAAGTTTAATAGTGTTTATTATTTTAAAGGCTGACAATGATATCTAGTAGTTTTAAATTGGGAAGGGGTGGATGAAGTGGGAGGGGTGGATGGTTAGGTCAATGTGCGGTAGCTCACAAAATAAGGTAATACAAGGTGATTATTATTTACTTGAAAGTGATTTTTTTCCCTTCGAAAATTCAATCTTTATTTTCCATCATCAATAAAGCAACAAATAAAGATGGAGGAAATACAACAAAGGCAAGGCCTGACAATGTGTTGTATCACCTTAACAAAAAGACAGTCATAAGCAATAAGCAAAATTGTCAATGGAGGGGGTCAAATGAGGGGTCAAGTTTTTTTGGGGGACGTGGCATGCCACTGAAGGCACTGTGAGGATAATTAAAGCTTCTGTAGCAACAAAACAGAACTCTGAAATGTAACCATTTGAAGTTATTTTGTGTTTTTAGGTTGTGTGGCGGTCGATGCAGCAGGAGTTTATTCACCAATATAATCACATTCAAAACCTGATTAAGCGTTGCTACCCTGGTGCCAATCTCACCTTGGAATTCACCATCGATGAAGTACTTCAGTTCTTCTCCAATATCGCTCAGTCTCATTAAGTATTTGAAATCACATCATGCCCATATATAGGCACAACATGCCCATATATATGCACATCATGGCCATATATAGTCACATCATGACTATAGACAGAAATTTATATGGTCATGAAGAATATGACATCACATCAAGACCATATATAGGTGGCACATGTCCATATATAGGCACATCATGACTATATAGGCACATCATGTCCATATATAGGCACATCATGACTATATATAGGCACATCATGTCCATATATAGCCACATCATGACCATATATAGGCACATCATGTCCATATATAGGCACATCATGACTATATATGGACAGAGCTTTCCATGGTCATTAAGAATTTGTGCAAAGAATATAGAAACATTTATTTATGCAGCAGTTCAAATAAAAATATTTTCATATTATTTTCAGTTTAAAGTTAATTATTTAAAATATTAATAGTGGGTGTGTATCTCCATACCAAAGTTAACATCATGTGATTTAAAATATTAGTAAGCAATTTACTGTATATATTACGTTATTATCTCATCATGGTATGTAATTAATATTAATTACTTTACTCTAATTATTGTTCATATATTATATGTTACACTCAAGTGCTTATAATATTATTATTATTATTGTTATTATTATTATCATTGTTATTATTACTGTTATTATTATTATTATTATCATCATTATCATCATCATCATCATCATCATTATGTTATAATAAGAATATTTCATTGTTATTATTGTCAGTGTTATTTTAATTGAAACATAGTGCATGGTAAAGAATGCATGACACTACCTTGATTGAATGAATCTTTGTACCTTAAGCCTTCTCTACACACTACCAACTTTTATGTGACAAAAAAATGTAAAAAATGTCCATATTTGGGTGTAACATTACATCATCATGACCATATATGGGCACATCACACACATTTGTCACATAAAACAGAGCTTCAAGCCCTGTCCACACTATAAAATTATAGTTGACAAAAAAAAGTGACATGCCTAAACATGGTCATTATGACATTATGCCCATATATAGACACATCATGCCCATATATAGGCACATCATGTCCATATATAGACACATCATGCCCATATATAGGCACATCATGTCTATATATAGGCACATCATGTCCATATATAGACACATCATGCCCATATATAGGCACATCATGTCCATATATAGGCACATCATGCCCATATATAGGCACATCATGCCCATATATTGGCGCATCATGACTATGTATGGATGGAGATTTACATGACCATTGATGTAGATTCTCTGTAATAGTTTGCCATGACTACATTGTGTTGACACATAAGAATATTCAGAATGCTAGTAAGGTTGAAGAAAGCATGAAGCATGTACTAACATAGAGTATTTATAGAGTTGTAAGTACAGTAGGCAAGAGGCAGGGAAGCAGGTGTGAATCTGGAGCATAATTAAGCCCTGTCCAGGATATCAAATTATATTTGACAAAACCATGTGACATACCTAATTATGGTTATGATGATATCATTACTGTATATGTGCATACAATAATTTTTTTTTATTTTTTTTTTCGTGGGGCTTCATCCAATTTTCAATGTTTTCTCTTCTACATGCATTTACATAAAGCTGTATAAAAGTATATAAAGTTGTTATAAATAAAATGTTATAGTCCCGGCTCAAACTATTGTTAAGGTACATTTCATTGATAGGCTATGCCCAATACAGTAAGATCTTTGCATCATTGTTCCTTTATTCGAAACACTGCCACCATACACCACAGTGTTGAGGAGGCACATTAATTCCTATGCAACATTAATTAGGTTTCCGGCTTTAGCACTGTTACAACAATGATACTGATAGTGGAACAAAATGTAGCATTACATATATATTTTGTTACTTGGTTAAGTATTCTACATTCAATGTGTAACAAATTGATAAATAATAATGATGGTGTTCAAATAGGAACATAAGATGTTATCGAGCACAGCCCATCAACAAAACGTTTTTTCAGTTGTATATGAAAAAGGCCAGCATCTCACAAGAGAAAAAAAAATAGAAAAGTGCAATGATATTCTAATTCTTGTGTGATTTGTCTGCCCTCTGCAGGAGCCCTGTCCAGCATAAATGCCAGACAAATTGTCAGTGGCAGTCTATGTTGATTGTCATTAAAATCAATTTGTTATAAAATGCATAGAAGTGTCACAATATTGCATTGACCTTTGACGTACTAGTGCATGGAACAGGGCCTTTAATGTTTTTCATTGTCTCCATTTCTCTGTTGACATTTTTGTTACTAGTATGTGATGCCATGTGATGGCGTTCGCAGACAAAACTTTATTGGACTTGAATTACGCACATGCAAGGCATAATCGTTATTGTTATAACATCACAGTCACCAAACTATTCATTTTCATGATGCTGCAGATGTCATTAGATAATTCCAAAACTATATTCAATACTATTATGAAAGCAACATTTTAACAAATTCAACTTGAATTTTAATATCTTGTAAAATAATTCTACTACAGTACTACCAGACAATTAAAAAAACATAATTTAGAAAGTAGTTAAACAAGACTGATTAATGCGGATATATAATAATTAAATTATTGTATAAATATTTTTTCCATCACAAAAAATTTTATCTGTCTTATGTTAATCTATAAATAGGCTATTAATATGCACATTATCTGTCTATTAGTAGTACATACATTACTGTCCCCACACTAAGGTTACATTAGTGTTTTTGAATTGCATATTTCAGTTTTAGGAATTACAAGAACACAAACAAATTATTTTGTTTGTATAAGACAAACAAAAATCAGTAAATTAAAAAAAAAATTTTTTTACCATATTTATACAATAATGACAGAATAGAATTATAAGAAATAATTAAAAATTATAGAAGTTTAATATTATACAATTTGTACTTGATGGTAAATAAATTTATAATAGTGAATTTATGTACTGTATCTGTAATTGAAGGTCAAGACCATACCGTATGGGTATGCTAGCTGAGATATACTGTACACCTTTCTGGAATAGGCCTGTATTTTGATAGAATGTTTTGCTCGTCTATGGTAACCAGGCTATACCTAGGAACAATGGCGAAAAAATCGATATATAGAGACCTATATGTTATTTATACTTCCGTATCATTCTAAGACAAAACATGGGCTAAATAATTTGCGGTACAGACTGACATCCATGTGAATAACGATAATAAATAATGTCGGTTGGAGTCGCTCTAAATAACATAAATGACAGAAAAACATTCATCAAAAGTAGCCTATACATATCCAACGAAAAGAAATGCTAGTCGATGCGTTGATGTTCAAAGATTGTTGATACGTACTTCCATTGTACAAAACATCAGACACCTTTACAATGATACTAACCTGTCACTGTTCATTATAGACGAGACTTCTTTTTAATACCTTGTTTAGCAAACTTATTTTGTCAGGGAAGGGCGGGAAAAGGAAAATTTTGTTTTCTTAGCAAAATGATGATTGCCAACAGGAAATTTTTCAGTAAACTGCGAGTTACGCTCACGTGCACACACCCTTTAAATTGAGAGGGGAAGATTCACTATCCCTGAAACCGAAGCTGAAAACAGACTTTGCACCCTTTGTGAAGTTGAAGATGAATTCCATTTTATAATCTGCTGCCCCATTTCACATAATGTTAATAACAAGCTTTTCAACGGACTTGAATATTATGAAAACTTCAAACATATGTCAACGGTAGAAAAATTGCTATGATGTCATCAAACCTGTTATTGAATTTGTTACATCTGCATCTGAACGGCGTACTGCCCTTAAGGATTCGGCCTGAAGACGGGGATCGGATTATTTGGTTTTGTCCATCGCCTGTAACTCGGGGTTTTCTTGTAAACTTTTTACATTGGTTTTCTCTTTCTGTATTTTCATTTTCATTGTTTGTATTGTGCCTGTTATTTGATCATACCTTTGATTGGAGGTGATTATCAAATGAAGTGCATTGCAATTGTAGGCGGAGGATAAATTAATAATAGGCCTAATACAATTTTATTGATAAATGTATAACAAACAGTGTAATAATAAAATTGATAAATGCTATAAATATATGGTTTGGGGAAATATATTTTTAGAGATCAGGGGAGCGGAGGCTTTTAAATTATATTTAATATAACTTTAAAACATTTTTTTTTTCTGAAATTTCCATTTTCGTGACGAAAGGTACCCTAACTGGCCAAGAATAAAAATTTTATTTCTATTTGAAATCATTAATTATTGGCGGTCGGAGTGTTTGCTAAAAAGGTACAAAAAGTCTCGCCTTACAGGTTCTGTAATTTATGGTGAATCTTCATAAGCCAAATTATCGAGCGCGGCCAGCGCACTGTCTGGTCTTTCTTGTTCGTCCTCGTTCACACCAGAATCCGTGCCAGAAAATGTTGAGAACGACACAGGGCGCTGTGGTTCTTGCGCTTCCATTGGTTCCGTGTGCAACTCGGCAATCGCTGGTTGGTTGTCGTAGACGTGCTCATTTTCGTCGTAAGCGTAAGTGTGGTTGTTATAACTAGAATTTGTTTCCTCAGGAGGTGCCATCAGTTCGGGTTTGGGTTTTTGGAGTGTTGATGGTGGGGTGTAAATCGGAGGGCTAGGAATTTCGCTTCTCTGATCTTTATTTTCCATGTCGTAAACAACAGGAGGCTTATTTCGTTGAGCAAGGAGGACAGTGGCTGCAAGAACCCCGATGGCAAGAAGAGCAATTAATGCATACACGAGGCCGTTGATCACATCCTCAGCTTCTTCAATACTTAACGTGGACCCTAGAACATCGACTTCTTGGGCTCCTTTGACGGTCATCTTCAGGTTTTCGATGAGCTGAGGAATTGTGTCTAACCAGATAGCCATTCTATCTGCTTCGTATCTTTCCTTAGTTGTGATATTATTCTCAATGGAAATGTATAGATATTTCTCGTCTGACGTGTAAGGGTCCCATTGGACTCTGGATCCATAACTCGGGTTTCTGAAAGAAATACAAAAATGACGGTCATATAATGAGAACCACGCTGCCTAATAATTACTAACATAAGTATAAAGATAATTATGTTAATGATGCTGAAGTATGACAACTTACATGGACTTTGGCTAACTAACTTTTTTGCTTCAATATTTTCCTTTAAATTGGATTGTGAATGATAAAATTATTAACAACAATGCGTAAAAACACCACAATTTGTATCTAAACATGTAGGGAGTCGCATGTTTGCTTTAAAACACAGGAACGGATACAATTGGAGGTACGATCGACGTGTCTATCCTCAACCCCGCTCCCCACCTCTTGTATTGTCACTGACATCCATGCCACGAATTGAAATACAAATACGTTCGAAGAACTATTCATTCGTCACAGATCATTGCATACAGGGTGTCACAAAGGTTGAATATAACAATGAATATACGGTCACGCGTTGGTATTAGACAGGTAAACAGATTGGAATTGGCACTTCGTTTATGCTATTGATTTAAATCGTTAACAAGGAAATAATAGTATTTGTTATATTACATCCCTTTACTTCTTTTTATAGGCCCTCGAGTTATACGTTCTTCTATTAACGAAAAGTAGGCCTATGTGTGTGGAGTAGACTCCGAGTGCCAGAGAAAAGGGTTACAAAACAAGATTTTAACACTCTCAATGGAATTCTGGCATACCTCTCAGCTTATTAAATTAACTATAAATAAATGTTTAGTTTAAATTGTAACCCATTGGTATCTGAAGTGAAAGTAATTATTTGTATTTGTTCATTTTAAGAAATATAGTCTTACCCAAAATAGACAAAGTTTTTCACAAATTCCATCATTTGATGACTCAGTATCCTCTCTTCAACGCTGAATAGGTCCTTAGTTTTTGATTGAAAAGGGTTCCCAAAAATGTATGGCACCATGTCTTCTGAAGACTCCTCCTCTGAAGATTCTGTTTTATGATCGAACACCATATAGTATGTCTGACGAGATCCAGACGCAGCTCTTGCTCTGTTCAACTCTGTCACTGGTTTGATGTAGAACCAGTCGGTCAGAAGCTCCGTCAATTTATCTAACCTTGCAACGTCACTATCTGGGTCCGTCCAATCGTTGTAACTGTTCGAGATGATGGTTGAAACCAGTTCCATGCAGCAGTCGTAAAAATTAGAAATCGTGGCTACAGTCTCAGAAAAAAGACTTCTTGAAATTCCATCACTGTTTTCTCCCTTTAAGAAGTCAATGTAAATTGAAGCATCAGCATCAGTAACACCTATCATAAGGTCGAAATTCGTAGCCTGCATTGATGTTTTGAGCAGATCATCGATTGATTCTTTCTCTTTCTCTGCAGTTGGTCCAAAATATGAAAGTATACTACCTTCGTCAATGACAGGTCCTTCTAATATTTCCTGAATTTCCAAATCTTTCAGACATTCTACAGTGCTATCTTCGGACTCACAAACTGCTGATGTAAATACATTTGCCACTTCCACAGGATTTTTCACAATTTTGTCTTCAGAAATTACACCACTCAATGCGATAACTCGTTGAAAATATTCTTTATTTTCCTCTTGAAGCATATGATAGGTGACACTTTCGGCCCCCGCGCCTGCTCCAGCCAATGTAATCTGGCTCTGGTCTCCTCCAAAGGCGTCTATATTTTCATGAACCCATTTCAATGCAAGGAGTTGGTCATCTAGCCCTACGTTTATTTGTGCGGTGCTATTTTCAGTGGTTAGAAATCCAAATGCCCCAAGACGATAATTAATTGTAACTACAACAACATCAGCGTAAGCAGCAAGCGTACCCCCATCGTAATCTGACCCAGCACCCGAGAGAAAAGCACCACCATGAATCCAAACCAATACCGGTAGACTAATACCAGATCTGTTATTAGGCCTATAGACATTAAGTGTTAAACAGTCTTCATCGATCTTATAAATTCCGAAATTCATACCATAGTATAATTCCTCGGCTGGTTCCTTTATTGGTGAACATATTTGAGGACAAGAGAATCCAAAATCTAATGCGTTAAAAACGGGGTCGGCGTCAGAGACTGCAGGTTTCGGTTGGGCATATTGAAAACGCTGATCTTTGGTCAGTTGCATAGCATACGGCACTCCCTTAAAAACATCCACCTCCTCTGACCGATTATTCCCAATGTTGTAACTTACAGTCGATCCAGTAATAGTACCTAACCCGGGTTTCGACACTTCTGGTGCTCCTAAAACACACGACGTTATTAGAAAACTTATGAAGAATACAGATGACACCATTTTGTCTTGTAAACAGACCGTCTTCGGGTTTTTAAAGACACAGGCAATCTTAGAGCACGTTTGTACTCACTCAGGGCGCGGTTGTGCTTAAATAACAAACTAACAGCTCATTCTGTACCTGTTACAGGCTTATATCAGCTTCACTGGTTTCGGAAAAAGGCACAAATCTGTTGTTAGAGAGTGTACAATAGGCCACAAATTTACGATGTGAAATGAAACAGAACCAAGTGTTCTTTCAGGACAATGTGACAATGTCAAAGAAACCGTCCAACCGAAACAGGTACCGGTACCCTTTTGATGGAATTCTTGACATATATCCGGCCATTGTGACTCATAACATCCAAATATCTCCATAAATTAGTACATTATTTTATGTGTAGGCCTATTCAATTTAAAGAATTATATCCAATCAACAAATTCACGAGAACCACCAGCTAACCAAGTTTGTAACGTCTACACACTATAGTAGTA